CCCAGGGGGCAGGGTCCCCCCAGGCCGCAGGGTCCCCGCGGGGTGCAGGGTCCCCCCAGGGCAGAGGGTCCCGGTGGGGTGCAGGGTCCCCCCAGGCCGCAGGGTCCCCCCAGGGCACAGAGTCCCAGCAGGGTGCAGGATCTCCCCAGGGCACAGGGTCCCTGTGGGGTGCAGGGTCCCCCCAGGGCACAGGGTCCCCCCAGGCCGCAGGGTCCCCCCGGGGTGCAGGGTCCCCCCAGGGGCCGGGGTCCCGCGGGGGTGCGGGGCGCGGGGGGGACAGGCCCCCGGCGCTGAGGGTTACCTGGGGTGGGAGGGTCCCCCCGGGGTGCAGGGTCCCCCCAGGGGCCGGGGTCCCGCGGGGGTGCGGGGCGCGGGGGGGACAGGCCCCCGGCGCTGAGGGTTACCTGGGGTGGGACAGCAGCGACAATGGCTGCTGGGTGACCGGGACAACCGTTGCTAGGTAACACTGACAACCGTTGCTAGGTAACGATGAGTTGTTCATGAACAAGGACAGGGCTGTAACGGCGACGGGACGGGAATGGGGACGGGGACGGGGACAAGGATGGGGACGGGAATGGGGATGGGGATGGGGACGGGGATGGGGCAGGGACTGCGACCAGGATCGGGGTCAGGATGGGGACAGGGATGGGGCAGGGGCAGGACAGGAACAAGACGGGCAGGGAAGGATAGGGGTAGGGACAGGGATGGGGTAGGGATAGGGATAGGGATAGGGATAGGGATAGGGATAGGGATAGGGATAGGGATAGGGATAGGGATAGGGATAGGGATAGGGATAGGGATAGGGATAGGGATAGGGATAGGGATAGGGATAGGGATAGGGATAGGGATAGGGATAGGGATAGGGATAGGGATAGGGATGGGGTAGGGATAGGGGTAGGGATAGAGGTAGGGATAGGGATAGGGATGGGGTAGGGATAGGGATAGGGATAGGGATGGGGTAGGGATAGGGTAGGGATGGGGTAGGGATAGGGTAGGGATGGGGTAGGGATAGGGTAGGGATGGGGTAGGGATGGGGTAGGGA